TCTTCCTTGCCCTTCTCTCTCCCCCTCTTCCTTCGCACTGCGCCTCCTCGCTACGTCTCCGTCGTGGGGCGGTTTTGAAGGGTCAAGCCCACTTGGCCACCCATCTGTTCTCAGCTATCCGGCCCCCTTGCCTTCCCGCTTCCCCGCGCCCGCCCCTCTCATCCCCTCGTTTCCTTGCTTCCTTTCCATTATCCCCTCTTATCCCCTCTTATCCCCTCTTATCCCTTATCCCCTCTTATCCCCTCTTATCCCCTCTTGCGCCTGCTTCCTTATCCCCTCTTATCCCCTCATCCCCGCATTCCCCTGCTTCCTTTGCCCTCCAGGCTGCCAGAGCCAGCAACGCTTCAACTCCCAGCCCCAGTGTCCCCTCCGTCCCTCTCCCTTCGCCCTTCACGACTCGCCTTACCCCCCCCCCAATACCCCTTTGAATGTTTGCGGGAAATCAGTCCTGCGGCCCAGTTCTGTTCGATTGGGTTGTGAGTTTCTTCGTTCTCCTGCTTCGAAGTCGGTCGTGAGCCTTCTCCGATCTGGTCGTCAGTATCCTCCTGAGGCCCACCAGCCCTCCCCCCAGGCCAGCCTCAACCGGGGGAGCGGTCCTGGACCTCTCTGCGGCACCCCTCTGTTTCAACACCCGTCACACGCGGGGCTAGGACCAGAACAGATCTTCCAGATGGAGCGCTGTCAGAACGTGCCCGATCCATTCTCTAGAGCTGTCGGATCCTAGAGGTCTCCGATCTGTCCTGGTCCGATGTTGTCCTGGTCCTGGCTGGGTTCGTTCAGGAGAAGAACACAGCTCCCCCAGCTTCGCAGGCCTACAGGTTGACACCAACACCAATATCGGCGGTGTGCCTCCACCGAGGGAAGAAGATCCCGACCTCGGTGATGGTGGTAATATTCTGGCTGCCAAGGTGACCGAACTATTACCACCAGCACCGAAATCTAGGATCACCTTCCCCCTGTCGAGGCAATCCCTTGTGTTGGTGTTGGTGCCCATTTCCAGGCCTCCAGCCGTGATTCTTGGGAGAGGGAGGGGCAGAGCCGAGGGGACGATCGGCGGACTCGGCCTCGAGCGCCGCACGAACGCGAGCGAGTGCAGAAAACTGGCGGCACCCACCCGAGAGAGCACGAGGCGGGGATCCCCCGGGGAGCACCCGCACCGCTGGGGCCTGGCGGCCGCGGCACGCAGCCGTCATTCGTCGGATGCACGAGGCGGGGATCCCCCGGGGAGCACCCGCACCGCTGAGGCCTGGCGGCCGCGGCATGCAGCCGCCATCCGTCGAATGCACGAGGCGGGGATCCCCCGGGGAGCACCCGCACCGCTGAGGCCTGGCGGCCGCGGCATGCAGCCGCCATCCGTCGAATGCACGAGGCGGAGATCCCCCGGGGAGCACCCGCACCGCTGGGGCCTGGCGGCCGCGGCATGCAGTCGTCATTCGTCGGATGCACGAGGCGGGGATCCCCCGGGGAGCACCAGCACGATTGGGGCCTGGCGGCCGCGGCATGCAGTCAGCGCGCCCAGTGAGGACGCGCGCCTTCGTCAAGGGTGCCCTCGTGTCCTGGCCTCTGCGGCCCGTACTTTGCCGTTTTCAGTAGTAGTCGCCCATCGACCAACACATCCCGACTTCGGCCTCCCAGGGTCTTGCGTCCTTGCCACCCGTCATTGATACACGTTTTGATTGCATCGGCCATTTGCGACTCCGGGGCCCTGCCCCATTTGATTCGATTTCGATGGCTTCTGATTTCGATTCGATTCGATTTCGGATTCCGATTTGGATTCCGAGTCCTCAATGGAGGCCTACTCGACTGCCGATTTCTGCCGATTCGACTTCTCCCGACGTGGCTGCCGATTTCCGCGGATCCGATTCATTTCGATCGCCGATCGGATTTGTCGATTCGATTCTGGGCTCATCCTGGCTCCTCGTCCTCCCCGGCTCTCCATTGACAGCCCCGCCGCCGAAGAGCCGGGGGCGGCAGGGCCCGCCGGGCCGCTGGCGGCGCCGCCGCGCAGCCGGGCCTCCTCGCTGCCTTGTTTTCCAACGGGGTGTGGGGGCCAGAAGAGAGCGAAGAGGGGGAGGAGAGGCGAGAAGGTGTGAGAGGAATTGAGGAGCGAGAGGATCTAGGTATCCTAGATAGGGTCGGGGTAGATGGGGTCGGAGGATCGCGCCGCATCGCCGATGCATTGGCGATGCGGCTCGATGTGGAGAGCGATTTCTCGACGCTGGAGTCGCCGATGATGCATCGCCGATATATCGGCGATGCGGTGCGATCCTCCGACCCCATCTACTTCGACCCCATCTAGGAGGCCGCGTAGAGGCGAGAAGATGAGAGAGGAAAGGAGGAGCGAGAGGAGGATTGGGAGCTGAGACGAGTCAGGAGGAGCGGGGAGGGAAGAGGGTGGGAGTGGCACTCCGATGCCAGATTTCGGGCTCGCGGAAGCTAAGTTAAGGGAATTTGTGCACGAGTGGTCAATGCACTTGTTTGGGCACTTGGCGAACTAACACGAACAGATGCAACATGGCTGTAGACAGTGCTGTACTAGGATGGTTGAGTTGCAGGGTGCGTTGATTGAGTTGCCGAAGTCCTGTAGTTTGATGAACTTAAGCTGACGCATGTGAAGGAGATGGGCGTGGAGTAACGATATCGCATCGATCGCGCGCAACATCATCTGCTCCAGTATTCGGTTATCCTGTTTGGAATGCTGCGTTACTTAGTGAGACGCCCAGAGTGTATCAATCATGTACAATAATGGAACACATGTAGGACAACGTCAGATGAGTGATTGCTCGATACACATAGCTGCGGTCCGTTTTGAAACTCACTGGAAATGTTTGGGAGGCCTTTCTCAGGTCATGGTGGCTCCTCGGGAAAGTGCGAACATGAGGGGAATGAATGGGGAGGAGGAGGAGAGCTGAAGAGTGTCGCTCGGGGGTCAGCGACAAGCATTTCACTAGAAACCAGACTGCCTCCGTTGCATTTCGCACCGTATGTTTGGAAAGCAGGTCGTGGGGATCTTCGGTGGCGTTTGAGTTGATGTAGGTGTTCTCGGGGCTCGTTTGGCGATTCTCTTGGGACTCGCTGGAGCCTTTCTGGTGGTCCTTGGGGCCTCTTGGGCGCGTCCTGGGGCCTCTTGGGGGGTGTCTTGGGGCTTCTGGGGGCCTCTTGCGCCAGAGGGCGCGAACATTACGTTAGTGCGCCTTCTTGAGGCCCCCTGGGGCGGTCTTGATCGCCTGTTGGACCGTCTTGGGGCCCTTTTAGGTTGTGTTGGGGCTTTCTCGGAGGTATCTTGGGCTGACTGAGGACGATCCTGGAAGCTCCTCAGGCTGCCTAGAATTTGGTGAAGCTCGATAAAGGGAATGTGCAAACCATACCCTATCCTAAGGGATTGGGTCTATGTTGGTCTCTCGGGGCTTTCTTGGGAGCGCTCTTGGTGCTCACTTGAGCCTTATTGTAGGCCTCTCAGGCCGTCTTTACGAGGATCTGGGGGCCATTTTGAGGCGACTCGAGGCTCTCTTGGGCGGTCTCCGCGGCCTCCTCGGTCTGTCTTGGGACGCTCCTGGCTTCCAGAAGACGCACGCAACGCACCCCACGAGCCACCGTAATTCTCAAGAGTTCCCAGGAGTCGCCGGGAAACCGTGGGCCCAGGCCATGAGCAACCTTTCTGGGAACACTCGGTGCCGACCTCTGAGAAGAGCAGGAGCCTTGGGGCACTGAATGACGGAGCGAACGCGGGACGGACGACGCCGTCGTGATCATTTCCATCTGCGGCCTCTTTAGAGGTCTTGACCCCTGCCCAAGGGCCAGCTTTTCACTTCGAGTGGATTTGACGGTCCCGGGAAGGGAGGGAGGGAGGGAGGGAGGGAGGGAGGGAGGGGAGGAGGAGGAGGAGTCGAGAGCAGACCTGGCCTCTGTAAGGGTGCAGCTTGCGGATGAGAGGCCGCATGTCATGCACCCCTTCGCCGTTATTGGGGACGGTGGGCGGAGGCTGTGGTGTACTGTGTGTGTCGTGTGCGGGTTGGGAGGGGTCAAGATCTCTGCGAACTTATCACAGGGTTGTCGAGGCCCTCCCGCATCAGGCACGTGGGGTGCTCGAGTCCTCTCGGGCCTCACGCGTGCGCCTGCACGTTTCCAGGTCAATCGGGTGTGGCGGTACCTCGAAGATCCGCTGCGCACGGCCTCTCTGATCCGTGCAGGTGTGGTGCAGCCCCTCTCGAGCAGCGCTGCGCCGTGATGCGCGGCTTCCACGTCTGCCAGCCTGTGCGCTGGCGTCGCCTTTCATTTCTGGGCACTGTTTGGGAGGCGCCACCCGCCTCTGGCACTTGCTACGCGGTGGCGCAAGTGGCATGTGGCGCGGACAACCTTGTTCGCGTTCAGGCTGAGTCGAGGATGAGGAAACGGTGCCTTGAAGCCCAAAGCAATGAAACCATTGGTTGCCGTGAGTTTTTCGGGACGCTCGAGCTTTGCGAGCCCTGAGTTCTGACGTCGTGAAAAAGTTGCAACGTCGTCACGCCCAGGGCCCTAGACCTTTGCGTCACCTCTCGAGCGCAATCGACCCATGAGGGACCGAGGCCCAAGGTGAAAGCTCTGTTCGGGTGTTGCTAGAAGTGCCACTGGCCCGTGGTGCACCAGGATTTCCAAGGAGGCCCCCACGGCCTCCAGAGCACCCCTCACGAGGCCCAGAGGGCCCCAGGGGCCCCAAAGCCGAGCGAAAAGCTGGGGGCACCTTGGGCTAGTGGCACCTCTGGCAACCCACAAGTGAGCGGGGCAAAGAAACGGGGTCGCCTGCGCCGACTTTTGCGCGTAAGCGCCGCCCTCGCGTGCCGCGTGGGCGGCCCGCGTAAGCCGCCGCGTAAGGTCGCTACGTCATTTGCGTAAGACCCGTTCTTGATCGTCGCTCAAGTGGGAACCCGACTACGACGCCCTCACCACGGGGGACCCTGGCGCCACCTTGGCTCAGCCCGCGGTTCGGCCGCGCTCGAGCCAGCCACAGCCAGGCCGCTCACATGGCGGCCGGTACCGCCGGCCCCGGGGCGGCGCCTGGGGATGCTGGTGCGGGCTGGGGCGCGCAGCTGGCGCAGAGCGCCAGCGGCTGCGGGGATGACGGGGCGCAGGCCTCGTGGTTCCAGGATTTCCAGATGGGGTCGGAGCGGACGGGGTCGGAAGATCACGGCGCATCGCCGCTGCATTGGCGATGCGGCTTGATGTTAGCCCGATTTTCTCAACGCCGGTGGTGGCGTGGGTGCCGTGCCGACTTCGCCGATGCATGGCCGGTGTATCGACGATGCATCGCCGATACATCGGCGATGCGGCGAGATTCTGTGACCCGATCTATTCCCAGCCCATCTGGGAGGCCTCCTGTGGTGGTCCCCTCCTACCCTGTCTACGCCTGGCCTCCCTCGCGTCGTGGCAAGCCCTGCGATCCTGACGTCGCGAGTTTTTCATTGAGGGCGAGTTTGCCCTGTTTCGGGCCCCGGGGCCATCACGGATCGATCCAGCTCGACAAATGCAGCAAAAAGATAGGACCTCAAGGGCTCCGGTCGAGATTTCTCACGATGTTCTACAGAGACAGTCACCACGAGAAGCGTTTCGCCAGTGTTCAGCCTGCAGATTCCTCCTCCTGGGCCCCTGGACCGTGGCAAGACGACTCAGGATGAATAGCCGGTCCTGGGGGAATGATGGGGGATTTGGGGTGCGCACGCCCCGCTGTGAAAAAGACTCCGTGCGAACGCAAGCTCCTGCGCGCGAGTGGGGGCCCGGCCAGAGGGCTGCCGCTTTCCCCGGGACAAGCCTGCGGATCTCGAATGACAAAGTGGTGGCACGGCATCCCGCCCCACGGTTTGGACCGCCCGGGAGGAGGGTGAGGGCCGATGAGCTTCCAGGAGGCTGCTCGTCGACCGGCGGCGCCAGATTCCCCTCGAGGGTTTCGCCAGGGCGCACCACTGGAGGTCTCTGGAGGGTGTCTGTGAGGGCCCACGAGGGAGCCCAGTCCACTCGCCGTGCGAGCAAGTCGCGGTGGAAGTTCTCTCGCTGTGTCCCAGGTGTCCCTTTCTGAGCCACAGGCCTGTCAGAAAACACTCGGGATGCAAAGCTGGCCACGCAACTTTTGGTCCAGGCGGCCAGATGCTTGCCTCGAGAAGTGAAGGCGCCCCGTGGTAGTTTTAGCAGCGTCATACCGCTGGCGATGCGATGGGATGAAATGAACGGGCCCCTGGGAGAGGGGTCGAGACCCGAGGGGGCCCACGCCAGTGCCGTCGAAAGCGTCGGCTGGTGCCCGCGTCCGCTGTTCTATTGAGGATCATGCCCTGGACCCTGTGACAAACACATGACGGGCATGTTTTGTTGCCCCGCTCTCGGCCCCAGGGGCCTTCCAAATCGGCAGGGCTCGGAACAGCTCGTGACAGAGTAACGATGGGGTCTGGGAGTTGTCGTAGTGTTGTTTCTCGCAATCGTTTGCCTGGTCCAGGCCGTCGGATGTTGAGAAGGGGCAGAGTTGGGAGAAAGTGAGCAGGCAGACTCTGGCCCAACCCAAAACACACGTCACGATAATTTCCAGCAGCGGGTGGAATGTCGCTTGGTCTGGCCAAGTGTCCATCCGGTTGCTCTTTGGAAATCCCTGCTTCGCAGAGGGGCGGTGGGACCACCACGCAGGCCGACTGCGCGTACGTGTTTGTTCTGTTTGGAGCAAGGTGCGAGCAGTATTTTCTTGGCATCGTCTCTGTCGTCCGGTCTCTTCTTAAACACCTCTGCGTGCACCAGCGCGTGCTCATGCACACGCGAGACGTACCGCGGTCGGTCCTCGACCTCGCTGTAAGCCTGGGTGTATTCGACGAGATCATCCCCACAGATTACATCGAGGCTTCGGAGTTGTTCTTCAACAATCCTCAGGCGCACCAGCGTTTCGGCAAGATCTTCACAAAGTATAGGGTGCTGGGCTTGGATTGGCGCTTCAAGAAGGTATTGCTGTTAGATTCTGACCTGCATGTACGCTCCAACCTCGATCACCTCTTCGAGTTGGACGCCCCCGCGGCGATGCAGAGGGGACCGAATAAGCCGCCCATGCGAACGCTGCTCCCGGCCCGTGCACCGATTAACGCTGGCGTAGTGCTGCTGCAGCCAGACTCGCGCGTCCTCGACACGTTGTTGCGGGAGATCACTGGGCCCAACCCGCGGCGCTTGCCAGGCTACAACTCTCCAGACGCGGATTATTTGACAGAGCACCCGATCTATGCCGGCAAGTGGACGTCCATCCCGCTCGAATACAATTTCCAGTTGGAGTTCGATGCCCTGGACCCGAAGGCGGGCACTGTTCGCTTTTCCTCCCTGCGGGAGGCACACTTTTCCGAGGATGGCGCCGCCATGCCTTGGGAGAACGTCCAGGTCGTGCACTTCAGCGGCATGAAGCCCTGGGCGGCCTTGTTGGACGACACCTCGCCGCTGCTACGCGGCTTGCGCACCGTCGGCAGCAACGACGCCGGGCTGCAGGCCAAGTTGGCCGCGGGCATCCACGAGTACGCCCGCGAGGTCGCCACTCTGCAGGGCCTGTGCTCCCAGCTGGGTCTGGGGGAGGGCGTCGTCTGGCGCGAGGTGCGCGCTGAGCGGGCCCAGCTGCCGAAGAGGCCGGAGCAGGCGCGCATGCGCCTGCACGCCCTGTTGCCCCTGGGCGGGCGCTGGTTCGAGGGGCAGCGGGCAGCGACCGCTGTCTGGATCCCGCCCGGCGCGGGCCTGGCTATGCCGGGCGCGCTCCACGACAGGTGCAAGCCAGTGGCCGTGTATCTGGAGGTAGCCGGCTCGGCGGGGCCGATCGCGGTCGGCAATAAGGTGCTGGCCAAGGTGGACGGGACGGAGCAGCAGTTCGAGGTGACGGCCATCAAAGATGGCGTCGCGGGTCTGCGCCGGAAGGTCGTTCTGTCCCCCGAGTGGGAGCGCGCGGAGGCACCCCCGAGCGAGGAGACGCCCCAAGGCCGCCCGTACTATTACAACACGCGTAGTCAGTTGTGCCAGTGGGAGTTCCCAAACCTGCCGCGCAGCTGGCAGTGTGTGAACGACCCGGCTACTGGGGATCAGTACTATTATAAGGTGGGCAGTCAGCAGCCCGCGCAGTGGGACCCGCCCGAGTTCGAGGAATTGGAGCTCCGCCTGGACGAGCTGCGGGCGGAGAGTGTTGCGGCTGACCGCGTGACTTGCTCGGACGTCACCATATGGAGGCGGTCTTTCCTGGAGGAGGAGGACAAGGAGGCGCTGAAGGCGATGTGCGAAGCGCTGGAGATCGCCAGGCGAGGCGGATGATGGCGAGCGCCGGCGCGCGCCTCCGAATCCTGCGCCACGCTTTGGGGCAAGGGGGCAAGGGAGGGAAACAGCTCCAACGCAGTCGGGGGGACCCGACTACCTCGCGAGGGGCTGTCCGGGAACCCAGATAGCGGGGCGGCCGTAAACGGCTCACGCGCGCGCATGCCCGGACGCGCAGGATCGGGAACAATCGTGCACGCACGTGCGCGGGCGTGGGTGCCATTTGAGCACTTTCTCAAGAGATGGTCTGACCTCGGAGACGGGCATTTGGGATCTGCCCCGATGCCCCAGCAGCAAGACATGTTGAACCATCCAAGATCTCCACGATCCACTGAAAGACAGGTGGCCTAGAAAACAATTTCTCTACCCACTGGCCCACTTGGTCGGGGTTTGGAGGCTGCCTGACTGCACTGAGCGTGGGGGGGGGCGAAGGGGGAAAGGAGCGACGTCCGTGCCCTGGGGGGGTCGGTAACGGCCCCGACAGACTGCGGAAAACGCCAGAAAAAAGTTGCCTCCTGCTTCCAGCTGCTGCTGCTGCTGCTGCTGCTGCTGCTCCTCCTCCTCCTCCTCCTCCTCCTCCTCCTCCTCCTCCTCCTCCTCCTGACCTCGGACGTCTGGGCGGCCCCGCGCTGTGAGTCCTGATTGGGGTTGTGCTGGGGTAGGCTCATTCGTCGCGTGCCTCTGGGTCTGCAGCGTGCGGGAGTGCATAGGCGAGTCCTCGTGGTGTTCCCCTTTTGAGGGTCTCGCCTTTGCCAGAGGCATCCCCCTGCAGGGCCCCAAAGATTGTCGGGCCCCTTAAGTGGTTCTCGAACACCCGATCCGTTTTTTGTTTTCCTCGGGCCCTGCAGGATGCCGCAGTCTTGGGGCGTTCTGATTCATCGGATCACTGGTGCTGCTCTGCTCTGCTCCTCCTCCTCGTCCCCCTCCTCAACTTCCCCTCTCAACGCAAAGCACGACTGATCTGACCAGGTTGGACGCTCGTCCTCACGATCTTGGTCGCGAGTGTCCCTCGCACGCCTCTATCTTCCATCCTCTCCCACTCCATCGTATGACCAGCTCCAGAGACGACGTCGCTCTGGAGAGGGCGGGGCGATGTCTGCCTGCGGCGGCCGGCGGAAGCAGAGAGCCACGGAGAACGTGACCCTGCACCACCTGCGCGGCCCTTGGTGCGCGGCTTTCGGGTGGCGCCCAGGGGCCGATGTACAAGGCACGCGGGCCAACATGGCCGCATGGCCTTGCGGCGATCGGCACGCCGCGCTCCATGGGGCCGTTCTTGTCTGGGGTCGCGCCTTGCATGCAGCCCAGGGATCGAGGCGGGAGTCCCCGTGGTCGTCGGAGCTGGGGCCACTGTCGGTCGACGGCGCTTCCCGAGGCGGCCCCTCGTCTGTCTCTGTGGCCGTCGGCTCGTTCGAGCGGCCCGAGCGTGGAGCATCTTCGGCGGCCGCGGAGGGCGACCGCCGGGGGGGGGGGGTGAGGCATGTCCTTCCACCCGAATCTCCTCCCGGTTCTGTCCCCTCGGGAGCCTTCCTTCCTGCATTCCTCCCACGTCCTGCTGCCCCCTCCCCCCCACCCCCAGCCTGGTCCCCCCTCCCCTACCGCCCCCCCCCCGCCCTCCACCTTGTACTCCATCGCTCTCTTGCCCCGCATTCCTCCGTCCGTCGATGGCCCTCCAACCTCCTCCTCCGTACCCATCCCTCCGTCCGTCCCTGGCCCTCTATCCATCCGTCCGTCCGGCATCGGCGTTCTCGTCGTCGTCGTTCTCGTCCTCGTCGTCGTCGTCGTCGTCGTCGTCGTCGTCGTCGTCGTCCCCCATGTGCTCCTGATCCCCCTTTCCATCCTCCTCCGTCATCTGTATCAATTTCTCCTTCTCCACACATTGAATATCCGTCTGTTGCTTGTAGTGGTCGTCATCGTCATCGGCGTTTTGCCGCTTCCATCTGCAAGGCGTGGGAGCCAGCGAGTAGCAAGCTCAGCACAGACCCTCACGGGTCTATGGTGCAGGGACCCATGAGGGTAGGTTCGTATTTTGTTAGCCCACATCAGATTCGCGGTGATGGAGATCATATCAGTTCTTCAGTCGTCACTTGCCCCGCTGATGTTCGCACGATGCTGCGTGAAGGGGAATCAACCGCGCGCAGTGCGGCCAGCCCGAGGCCATGGGACCAGAGTTGGTCTGAGGCATGGCCCGCAGATTAGGGGTGCAGAGCATTAGGGACCCAGTCAGGCAAGTCTGCATCAGGTCTCCCTCAAGGGGGGCCATGTGACCCCAAGCTGAGAAATTTGCTCCAGGCGATGCAGAGTCCAGCCGGCGCGATGCTTGCAAGGCGCCTATAGGCACGTTTGGGCATCAATTCTACGATTTTTGATATCTGTGGACTTTTGATTCAGACCCAAGCGTTGCCAACGTCTTTCCCGATACGGTACAGGAGCACGGACAATGGGTAAGAGACAATAGAGCCTACAGGATTCCCCCCAAAGTTGTATTCCGTTGTGTTGGTTTGTGGTCTCCCCCTCCTTGCCCTGGAGTGCCCGCCCGTTGCTCAGCCCAGCCCCGTGTTCGCATGGGGAGTTGTGCACCGATCTTGGGGATTTGCGATGTACACCGACAGTGCAGGCTTGGCAAACGGGTTGCCAGAGACGACTAGACTCGGCTGGGCGGCGGTTGAGCTTTCCCCATGGTGATGTCCCGTAAGGGCCATCTACGGACGCGTCGCGGGAAGGTGCCATTCGGTGCCCAGGGCCGAGTGCCAGGCCACCCTTCAGGCTTTGCGCGTTGGCACTATCGACCTCACGACCAGTCTTCGCACCAATGGATTCAGCGATCGATCCCATTGTGCTCGCCCCAGGGGAGATCGCCTTCCCCGCGAGATCTGCACGACCCAGGGGACGTCGCCTCCCTGCTCATCGGACAGCGCGAGCGCACAACCAATGTCACAATCAACCGCACTGCCGATGTCATTTTTGATCTCACTATCCATCCCATTCTAGCGATCTCACTATCGATCCCACTTTCGACTTCACTATCGATACCAAGGCGGGACACACCCGGCCACCGCCCGCCCACCGCCGACGGAACACCGACGGGACACCGACGGGACACCAATGGGACACCACAGGACACAACTGTGGGACACCCCAGACCACCGCGCGTCCACCAGGGGCGGAGGGGCGGTTCGGTGCATCCGAATCGCCTTAGCGACGGCGGGACACGTCCTCTCCCGCGCCCACGCAGCTTCGCCTCGCACGCACGACACGAACACGAATACGAAACCGAAACCGATTTCCTGGTGGGAGGTTCTCCTTTCCACTGCGATCTCACCCCTGCATCCTCCGATCGTACGCTAGATGTCATGAGTAGGGCCTGGCAGCACGCAGCTGCTGCGAAGGTCCGAGACGGCCTCCCTTAGAGGAAGGGCCGGCGGGTTGCCGTCTCACGATCTGAATTCTGAAGGTGGCAAAAGGGGACGGAGGGCGTTGCACGTGGTGCCTTTGCTCGGCTTGGACCCGCTGCAGCAGGGCCAAGCTGGAGCAGCCTGGTTCAGTTGCTGCCCTGCTCTGGCGCACCTGTTTCGTTCAGCGATGAGGGCCTGGCGGCATAGCGGCGTCCTTGTCAGTGCGCGATTGATGTGCCGCACTTCTGGCCGCGCTGAACGAGCCAGGGCTCAGCGCGGAGGCTGACGCACCATCCGAGCCCGTATAGGCACTATCGAGTATGGCGGACATGTCGTCCAGGCCGGAGGGCGGTTGCTCCTGCGCCGCCGCTGCGGCGCTCGTGCTGTGATCGAGCCGCCTTGCTGGCGGTCTCATCCTCGGCCCTGCCGAGGGGCTGTTACCGCAGGACAGGCCTGGCTCCGCGACGAGGTCCTGGCAGGGCGGGGGCCGCGGGCATCGGCAGCCACCGTTGGCGGCGGCGCTGAGCGCCGCCGCAGGTTGAGGGTGCGTGGGGCCGCGGCTCGCTTCCGGATGTCTCACGGGAGTGGGGGCCCTCCTCTTCCCGTGTGCAGCCGAGCTGCACGAGCCCTCTCGGCCAGCTTTCAGCTTTGCCACGGATGCTGGACCTCGGTCGCCCCCAGCCCCTTCCCCTATTCCCCTTCTCCCCTTCCTATTATTCCCACCCCCCCCTCCCCTCCTCCCGCTCCCCCCCTCTCGTCTGCTCCCCTCCGTCTCGTGTCCTGCGGGGCGTCTGAGAATTGCGGCGCCCGTGCTTCTCGTGGTTTCGAGGCCAGGCCCGCCGTCGAGCTCCGCTCCAATCCGACTTCACCCCCCTCCCCGTTCCCGCGCCCCCTCTGCCCCCCCTCTCCTCCCCAACCCCCCCCCCCCAAAAAAAAAAAATCCCTCTCCTCCCCAACCCCCTCCCCCCTTCCCTCCGCCTCCCTGGCATGCCTTCGCACCCCCACCCGGGGGGCCTGCACACCACCTCCCCGCGGGGTGCCAATTGGCATCCCAGGGCGCGGCCGAGCAGTCCCCCGCCTCTGCTCCTCCGCGGCGCGGGGAGGTCGGGCCCGCCCAGCCCCCGGCGGCCCCCAGGAGGCTCCCCGGCCTCGGCCGCCTCCGCCTCGCCGCTCTTCGCCCGCACGCCGGGCTCCGGAGGCGCGGCCCCGCCCCCCGGCTGGGACGAGGACGACTCGGGGGCGGACAGGATGCCCCCCCCCCCCCCCGGACATGTCGAGTGGTGAATTGTCCGTTGTCGGTGCTCGAGAGGGCGCCGCGGCCGTCATTTCCCAGGTCTGCGCCCGCCAGGTTTGGGCCCGAGGTCGTTTTCACCAAAGCACGTGTTACTAGAGGGGGTTCTGTCCGTCCCCGGACGACGTCGTTGGTGGGGGCGACCTTCGCGGCGGCGATGTCAGCTTGCCAGGATCGACGATCGCCTTGCCAGGATCTGCCAAAGTTGAAGCTAGAGTACGCAGTTGTTCCTTTTACATACTGACGAGTGGGACGCTTGTCGTGTGCTTTACCCCCTTGGACTCCTCCTCATTACACATAGAGTCGTGCTGCCAGAG